ACATATAGACACAGAGAGACACAGGTACATATAGACACAGAGACACAGGTACATATAGACACAGAGACACAGGTACATATAGACACAGAGAGAACATTTTTCACAATCAACTCACAGATGAGCAATGTTTCCTTTTGGGTGGGGCTGCAGCATCACATGGGTCACTCAAAAATATGTGTATTCAGCCCATTTCACATCATGAAAGAGTGTCAGGTTATAACAACAGGACAAGAGAATAGACGTTTTCAAAATTTAAAAAAACATATAATGATAATAAAACAGAATAAAACATGCAATAAAATCATGAATCTCTGACGGAGCAGCCACCCCCAGACCCAGAAGTGGACTAATCAACTGGACCAAAAATAGATGCACGAATTAGTCGTTTTTAATTCTCTTCACACATGATGACGACAGAAAAAAAACTCCCAACACATTTCCACACGTTGCGCAAGTGACGTCACATCACCACCATAAGATCAGCGCTGCGCGACTATACACTGGGCTTTAATGTCAAAATAAAAGAGAAGTAACAAAATGACACAAATCCACACCATGACAGTTTCCCCATTTCCCTGACTCGGTGTTTCAGTTTCTGTGGCCGCCTGGATTAGCCTCTCGGAGCCTCTCGGAGCTTCTCGGAGCCTCTCGGAGCCTCAGGACCTGATTAGTTCCGATGCGACTCGTCAAATCTGCTCTTTTACTAACGTTCAATAAGGCTCCATCGCTCTTAGAGTCTAACGAGCCACGGAGCATGAATCACAAAAGGCAGAGAGCGGAAAACACGGGGACACAAGACGCAGACGACATAAAAAAAAAATCTATTTAAATCAAGAGTTGGATCCGGGACGGGAAGGTTTTTTGTATAGCGCAGTTCATACACAAGGCAATTCAAAGGGCTTAACTAAACACAACAGATGAGGCGTAACCGTCATAAATAATCACAGCACATTAAGAAGAGTGGAGATACAATCCTAAACTGTTTTTAACCTGGATTTGAACATTTCCAGAGCCGAAGCCTGTCTCACATTTTCAGAAAGACTGTTTCAGAGCTATCTTGTTATTTAGATACTTATTTTGATATTTTCCCGTCAATATTTTTGTCATATTTGGAGTGGCTGGCTGGTAGAGTGGTTTGCAACAAGGTCCATGGGTTCAATACCAACCCCCAGGTCGTTCTGTGTGGAGTTTGCATGTTCTCCCTGTGTCTGTATAGGTTTCCTCCAGGTGCTCCGGTTTTTCTCCCACCACTACAAACATGTATAGTATGTCTAAACGCAATGAGAGAGTGAATGGATGGTGATGGTCGGAGGCTTGGATGTGGAAATGTGTTGGAAGTTTTTTTTTCTGTCGTCATCATGTGTGAAGAGAATTAAGAATGACTAATTTGTGCGTCTATTTTTGGTCCAGTTAATTTGTCCACTTCTGGGTCTGGGGGTGGCTGCTCCGTCAGAGATTCATGAAATTATGGCATGTTTTATTCTTGAGTGATTATATGTTAATTATTTTGAAAACATGTCTATTCTCTTGTCCTGTTGTTTTTGCCTGACACTCATTCGTGACGTGAAATGGGCTGAATAAACATATTTTTGAGTGACCCATGTGATGCTGCGGCCCCACCCAAAAGAAAACATCGCTCATCTGTGAGTCAATTGTAAAAATGTTCTGCTTTTTACACGCTCCTCCAGAGATGACACAGCCTTGGCCTTTCAGCAGCAGATTCAATAACACAAAAAAGGAAAAATGCCGCTACACCAACATTGTGAAGCCCTCAGCACAGCACAAAGTCAAAATATAGACTTGTGTAGTTCACTTGATTTCAGTGTATTTAACAAATCAGACTGTTTTTCTTTATTAGTTTTTTTTACTCATGCAGGCTTAAGATAATATTACTGGTTATTCATATTTTTTTGGTGGAAAGTGGAAAAATCATGATCCACTGGCAAATCATGTTACTTGAAACGAGTAAATTTCCTCTAAAAGTATCCACGTATTGTAAATTTAGTTTATTAATCACAATCACTTACTTTCTGCTTTTTGTTGACATCTTGTTTATTAAATCCTTTGTTATTTTTGCATCCTCAATTTTGTCTTTTTGTCTTCATGCACATGTGTTCTGTACGATAAACGAAGGCGTGAAATGCGCTTTATAGTGAGTAAAGTAAGTAATCCTTATTGATATAGCGCCTTTCACAGACCAGAATCACAAAGCGCTTTACAATTGTTGTGGAAATTTGTCTTTATCTGCACACAGAGATGGAAGAGACACATGCCAGATCTACATTGTACAGTGTTTTTAATGTCAGGGCAAACCGGAGCACCTGGAGGAAACTTATGCAGACACTGGGAGAACATTGCAAACTCCACACAGAAAGGTCTGGAGGTGGAATCAAACCCAGAACCTTCTTGCTTTGAGGCACAAGCTCCAACCAATATAAAAATAATTTCCTCAGTTACTTGCTCTTAGTTTATTTTTGCTTCAAGGATTTCAATGATTGCAATCTTGTGGAATCAGCTAATTTCCAGTAGTTTTTTTTTTTTTTTTTTTTGCAGCCCTGAAACAAACTCGAATTCATAGACAGGTCTTAATGTATTCATGTCCTGTATGTTGGGCCTGTGAAGCCGCCTGTATCACTCCCTTTTCTCCCGTTCATTACCGAGTAGACAATTCTGGTTCATTCTGTCGCCGTCTGAGGGCCTTTGCAACTCTGCTTTTGTGTTTGCAACGTTGTTCTTCAGAATTAGACTTGGAGATGACGACGAGTGAGTATTTGTGTCCCGAACTCGGTGTGCGGCGCATTTGCATCTGCTTACAGTCACTCCTAATCAACACGCTTTCGTCAGATTTACCCACGAAACAACGACGCAAAAGCAACGCATTTAAAAGTGCAGCGTGTGTGTGTGTCCTGGTCCACAGTCAGGCCGTAATCTACACCAGAGACTGAATCCAGAGATTTACAAGTCACGTCTGCGAAGAGGCGAGTCAACCCAAATGTTAATAACAATAATATTAATCATAATAATAGTAAAACTAATAATGGGTGGGTTTTATGCAGCGCCTTTTTGGGGACACTCAGAGACGCTTCACATGTTATTATCCATTCACTCCATACACATGGGGATAATTTACTGTTGTAGCCACAGCTGCCCTGGGGCACATTGACAGAAGCGAGGCAACCAGTATGCGCCATTGGACCATCCATTCCCGCACTCACCAGACTCATTCAAGGCAATGCCAATGCCCATCACGGCACTAACCAAGCCTGGCCTTGCTTAGCTTCAGAGGTCTGACGGGATTTGGCTTTCACATGGAAGTGATGCTAACTTCTGACTGTTAAAAAGAGTTACTGAGGGAAAGCATTTTTTTTTACCCTTCTACTTGAAAGAGAAATTCCCGTATTGAGCATGAAAAGAAAAGTAGATTCATTTCATGTCTCATTATTAATATCAATCGCCTGAAGGCCGCCTCAGTCCTGCACCACAGGACCTCGGCCCTCATTCTACAGCCTGAGTCCTGGATCTACAGCCTCAGTCAGCATTCCCGTCAAGAAATTGAAGCCGGAGCAAGAAGAATGTTTAGCAAATGTAATCGCTGGCAAATATTGTGGTGCCACTCCCCACGGGCTCCATTAGTGGCAAAGGAGATGGCTAAAGCTAGGCTAAATGCTAACGACTCACTAGGGCGCATTACCCCTCCCACCTGTAAATAGAGCACCTCCAGACCTTAGTACGAAATGTAATCTGTACTATGGTGTGGTACGACCAGGCTAATCTAACACTAGTATTAAAATGCAACACACATTATACACATGCACACGTCTTTACCATTTTGACATATTTTGATATTATTGCCTTTGAATAAACTGAGCGTGCATAAAGTACTGCTCCCGTTGTGTGTAAAAGCTTCTGTCTCGGGAGTCTGAAGTGGTCGGCCCCTTCTCAGACTCCGCCACAAAACACTTCTCCAGCATCAGACAGAGAGCACTTCAGCTGGAGAGGCTTTAGAGGACTTTCATGTTCAGACCAGAGGATGGATGTTCAAATCAATCAACAAGTTAAAAAAAACGCAGTTTAAAACGCATTAAAAATCTAAAAAGGACAATTACATACAGCAATACACAATCACTTCATTTTCACAGAAAGAGGGTTACATCATTATTTTGCGGGCTATAAAAGCTGGAGCCTATAATCCCATTGCTATTGTCATTGCTTGCTGCCACCAAACACACAAACCAAAAACTGACCTGAAACTATCTAATAATCAAAGTGAAAAGGTACATTGACTAGATTGGAACTGGTGTCTGACCCGTTGGTAACGGTCAGAGCGACTGATTGTTGTTTCACACCAGAACTTTTTCAACCTGGATTTGAACATGGCCGGAAGTAGAAGTCTCATATTAGCTGCATCAATCTGAAACTCTGCTTCCCCAAGGGTAGTCCTGACCCGAGGCCAGTCCCTGTGCTCCTCAGAGTCACCAGCAGGAGGCCAGTCCCTGTGCTCCTCAGAGTCACCAGCAGGAGGCCAGTCCCTGTGCTCCTCTGAGTCCGAGTTGGTTCATATGGCACCAACATGTCACAGATGTATTTTGGTGCGAGGCCATGGAGAGACTTGTGACAAGCAGAACTGTTTTTAAGTCTTTTCTCTGAGCCACAGGAGCCAGTGCAGAGACCTGAGAACTGGACTAATGTGATGGTACTTCCTGGTTATAGTTACGTTTTTGTTTTGTTCGGAAAGATCTGTGAGCAGGGTTTTGCAGTAGTCTAACCTACTAAAGAGAAATGCCGGTTAAGAATATCCAAGTCTGCTTTAGATGTTATATTTTTTTCTGGCAATGTTTTTTCTATCCATCCATTTTCTTCCACTTCATCCATTGCTGAGTCACGGGGGTCCAAGCAATGTTTTTCAGATGGTTGATTGAGGTGATGCTTACACTCTCTGTCTCTTTGTTTTTGTGGACCAAATATACCTTCAGTATCAAAAGTGACAGTAATAGTTGGATATGGTAAAATACTACATGTCTTTCCACAGAAGCAGGATGTCTCCTTAAAGCCCTCTCTCCTTGTGCCTTCAGGTATATGCCATCCTGGTGAGCCACCCTCCACAGTCCAACGACCACCTGACCCCCACTCCGGTCTCCTACACCGCGGGCTTCTACCGCATCCCGGTGGTGGGTCTGACCACACGCATGTCCATCTACTCCGACAAGGTGAGTCCATTCCAGCCTCAGGAGCTAAGCTACGCTAATCATTTCTATTCTGTGTCCAACACTACGTCCTCAGAACTCCTGGTTGGGTAAATAGGTTTATTTTGGAATATGGTACTTCATGGATTGACAGAAATAAAACCTAATAGGCCTTCTTAACACTAGAACTTCCAGAGCAGTCAATTTGACGGCTTTTAGTTTTGGAAGCGTAATAGCTCAGCTCAAATAAAGCCAATGTTGCCATTTGGCCCCTTTCCTCCCATGTGCTGGTTCTGAGCTGATATTGTGTTTCCACCAGAAAATAGCTAGTGCTGGTTGCTATAGAAACACACTGTTTACTTCCAGCTGTTAGCATTTGGTAACCTTTCAACAAATTGTGTTGCTGTATATTAACCAGTATTAACAATTATTAAAAGGAAAAAAAACATATATTTTACCTAAAACTAAACTCAAACTGTTTTTTGGGAATTTTCCAGAATTACATTGATTTGAATGGGATCAGTCAAAATGACTGCTCTGGGAGCTCCGGTGTTAATATGTAATTCTGGATCAATGGTGAAAAAAATACTACAGTATTTTGCTTGTGAATGGAGCTGATGTGTGACACGTTGTGGTCAGAGCAGCCTCTCGTGTTGTTCTAAAGACGTAGCAGTGAATGATCCAAACTAAGGCGGTTAGAAAGTCAGGTTGAGGGGGTTCGACGTGTCTTAAAATAAATCACTTCTGATCCAAAAGACGCACTTTTAGAACATTAACCTGGAGCCCTGTTCTGCCAGCCTCCTCCGTGTTTGCAGAGTGTTGTAATAAACTCCCTGCTGACAATAAAAGGTCGTTAGCGGACGACAACTGAATTTTTTATGTCGCAGCATGAATAAAAGAACAAACTGAGCTTGTCACAATTACTTCAACTCAGTGTGCAACAAATGGCAGATAAATATTTTGGGGATGGTCGAGATTTCTTAAAAAACACATTCAAATTGTATAAAACAGTTGATTGATTTCCCCATTTTACACATGGATGCACCAGCCCTACTTGGCCCTAGTTGGCCCTACTTGGCCCTTCTCTGCTCTGCCTGGTGCTGTTTCCTTTAGGCTTTAGTACTGTATCTGGTACGGTATCCTAGCAACCTACCCCAAAAAAAAAGTATCCGGGCAAATACCTTGGTAACCATGGCTTCCAGCAGCACTTCAGCACCAGCTCGGTCTGGATAGAACCAAGGCTGAGAGGGACCAAAAACGTACCTTTTTGTTTTGATTCTTATAGGTTCCTCTGTCACAGACTTAGTGGCATTTTGGTTTTGAAAGTGAAAGAACTTGCATGCCAAAGCCAGATGACATCAGACCTCTGAAGCTGTGCAGGGCTGGGTTAATCCTGTGATGGGAGACCTCTGGGAACAGGATCCACATTGGGGCGGCTGCGGCTGTAAAGTGCCAAACTAACAAATAACATGAAGCCGATTGACCAATGCTACACTCCACACCCTCCATCCCGTCTCTTTATGAGGCCAGATCTGTTCTAGATTAGCAGATTTTAATCCATTCTCTCTCGTGGTGCTGGATATGCCCCAAACTAGAATATTCATGATGGTACAGTAAAAGCTGGAGGCCATTTGGAAGATGACTCAAAGCCCCAGGGCTAAAAGTCAAGCATTGGAGCATATGGACCAAATCACATTAAAGTACGGAGCGTCATGTTTGAAAACCACCAGACCAGAACAATATTCAGAAACAGAAATATGTTAAAAGAACTTTGGAGTTGGTTGAGTGCTTTGAAGGCATCCATCTTGGACTCAAACTTGGTGAACAGTAACACTTTATAATAACTACACCTTATTTAAATGTTGAAATAACACTTGAATAAACATGAAAAATTCATTATTTAAGTGTGACCAACACTTAATAACTACTTAACTACTTGTGAGGCGTAGTAATATCTTAGGAGCACTTCGACTTTACTGCGTGGACATCGAAGTGCTCCTTTAATATAGTTACAATATAGTTCCCCTTTTTATCCGCTTTGAAAACCCACATATTAACCCTAACCCCTGCATCATATAAAGGCTCATGTAACCATATTCAAAAAGGGAAAACGTGGACAGGCTCAGTCGCGTCTAACTTCACTCCTGTTTGGTTCCATAGAGGAGAGGAGGAGAGGCTAAAGCTAAATGCTAACGCCATCTGAGCTCTTTTTACGTGACTGAGGGCAAACAGGGTAAAGGTTAAGTAGTTATTAAGTGTTAGTCACAATTAATGAATTGTTCATGATTAATTAAGTGTTACTTCTATATTTATAAAACCTAAAGAAGGTGTAGTTATTATAAAGTGGTATCTGTTAAACAAAGAACTCTTGGGAAATTGAGCCAAGTTGTCAGACAATTCTCAACTACAGACTCAGACCCAATACATGGTATATTGGTCCATACGGGGGCGAGATCAATGTCCAAAACAAATGGATCTATTTTTACTCTTACTACTTGTTTGCACCTTGAGCTAAAACAAATTGTGACTTCCTGTAGCTCACAATAGATTGAGTCTGGCGTGTGCATGAATGCTTTGTGGTGGGGCCGATGGCACATACTGATTGCGTCACTTCTGTCAGTGTGGCGCAGGGCAGCTGTGGCTACAGTAGTGGTTTAACACCACCGTGTATGTGAATTAACAATGACATGTGAAGCCTCTTTGAGCGTCCAACAAAAGATCTCAATTCAAACTAATGCATTATCAGTATCAGTAATTCAATGTGTGTCTAATAACCCGTTGTGGGTATTGTATATCATTGTATGTACTTCACGAGGGGGGCGTTGGCCTTTGAGCCTGTAGATTGTGGGCCCACCACGAGACCTTCTCCGCCGACTCCCACTGATGTCTGCTAGTGTTGTGTCCTTGGGCAAGACACTTAACCCCACTTTGCCTGAAGCCCCCGCTGAAAGATCAAGGCTTTTTGTCACTGACAGAGCAGCCGTCCTCCTGTGGACTCACCACCTGCAGAGGGTCAGTGAGGGGCTGGTGCTATATGTACTGGCTGGAGCTCTGACTGCTACCCCCCACCCCCCACCCAGAAATGGATTAAAGTGATTGTCTGGAGTTTGTCAGAGAGACAGAGAGGTACTTGATTTGAAAAAAACGACGCAAGCTCCCTCCCCCTTCCTTTCTGATTGGTCTACACCTACGTTTCCGTAACACTTTTAAATGTTAATGAGAGAACACATTATACATATACATTATTAATACACATGCACGGAGGTTTTCAGAATTATTTGTTAATTGTTTTAATGAAAAAAATTATGTTTTTATGCACAAAAAATTTGATCGCGGCAAACCCGGAACAAGCTATTATCATGAATTGCACATTATAGGACACACGTAGAGGATCTGATTATGGATATAGGTTCAGTATATACATGAGTACCTCAGCGCGGATGTTCAGAAGTCTTTGTTCAGTTTTCATGTAGTTCCAGAGCCTAATAGAGGCTTGATTCGGAGGTTCCGTGAAAACAAACAACTGAGCATGCGCGCAGCTGCGAGCATGAGCGCCGATGATTGACAGCCCTTGGCATGACTCGATTGGTTAACCTCGACGGCACAGTGGACTCTGAACTATAGCTAAGAGCAGGGAAGGCGGGACTTGTCTGTAATATTAGAATTAATAAAATGACTTATTTTATATCAACATTTAAGGCCAGGAGGTCAATTTAACACATTTCCTAAAATTGGTGACTCATTTAGAGTTAGGAGAAAAAAATTTATGTATGTACCACAGAGTTTCACATTTGTATTCTATTATGTTAATTCTACATGTTCATCCAACTCCTTCTCAAACCTGTATCAGTGTAAAGATATGTGTGAAGTCGGTTCTGCAGGTTTGAAAAAAATCAAACTAGCGAACAACAAAAAATATTCTGATTCTGATCAATCTCTAACCTCCGTTTCCTCCTCCTCCTCCAGAGCATCCACCTGTCGTTCCTGCGCACTGTGCCGCCGTACTCGCACCAGGCGCACGTGTGGTTCGACCTGATGCGCGAGTTCAACTGGAACCACATCATCCTGATCGTGAGCGACGACCACGAGGGCCGCGCCGCGCAGAAGAGGCTGGAGACGCTGCTGGAGGAGCGCGAGACCAAGGTGAGAGCTGCCCCCTACAGGCCCGGAGTGTCCTCAGAGTGGGCGGACACGAGGCAGGGCACAAGTGACACCGCAGAGGCCGCATTCAACTCCCGACACCTGCATTCAGAACACAAAATATATGTTAGAAATACAACAATAAAGAAGTGTCTAATTCAAATTTTGCTTTCTGAAAGGTATCTAGGGCAATATTAAAGGAAGTTCCACCTCTCTGAAAAATGTAAATGTTCAACTCAATTCAATTTAATTTTGTAATTATATTCTGACATTTTTTAAATTCATATTGCAGGAATCAGTAAAGTAAAGTGACGATGGAGACAAGTGGCTTCATTTTACACAAAAAGCCTCTAAATCTGCCGCCACAAAACAACAAATCTATACAATAATACATTTTATTTCTTAGGCATCTTTCAACAACAAAAATTGTAATTCAAAAATAAAAATAAGTAAAATAAATGTAATAAATAAAATAAATAAAATGCAAAAAATAAATAAAATAAATAAAATAAATAAAATAAATAAAATAAATAAAATAAATAAAATAAATAAAATAAATAAAATAAATAAAATAAATATTTAAAAAAAACATAAAATTACCAAATGTAAAAAGTGTTGTTAATTTTGTTAAACTCCTAGTCAAACACACACATTAAAATACTAGATCCAACCCAGTTAACATCAGCACGAACAGAGGCCTTGTCTAGCCTTGTCTAAATTTCTGAATCCAAATAGTCCGAAGCTCGTACCCAGACCCCTCCTCTATATCCCTGACCCGTGCCCAGCTGGTGTCACTGGTGGCCTGCTTCTTGCCGGGCCTGTGTGTGTGTCCCTGTACATCTCTCACCATTGTGTATACACTGCTAACATCCAGAAGCATCTGCAGCGTCTAATGTTGTGATCTCTGACTGACGTGTGTTTCTTTGCTCATCCTCATGTTGCTTTTTGCCACAGTCCAAATTTTACTCTGTGTCTGTCCACGTTGGGAGCCAAATACAGGACTTTAACACGCGGGGCTTCGCAAACCATCACGAAGGAGTTGGAGACGGTTGTGTTAGAGGCTGGCGGTTTATAAGAGATGATTTTGCCTGGTTTTTGCTCCAGAGATTGTGTTTGAATGGACGGAGCTATAACCGGATGCTCTATGAAGTCTGTAGGGAAGTGCTCTTGGGCAAAGTCTGGTCAATGTCTCTGGTCTCCCTCTCTTTCTCTGGCATCTCTCTGACTCTCAGGTCTCTCTGTCCTTGTTCTCCTGTTGGTCTCGCTCTTTCGCTAGTCTCTGGTATCTCCTTGGTCTTTCTGGTCTCTCTCTCTATAGTAGAATGCGGCTTAATATTTTATTTTATTTTATTAGACCAACAGAAATGAAGAGTAGTTCACAGAGGCCCAATTATATTATATACTAGACAGTTTAAAGGCACTGTGGAGAAAAATCATTTGTAATCAGTGTTGGGCACGTTACTTTTAAAAATTAATTAGTTATAGTTACTAGTTACTTCTCCCAAAAACTAACTGAGTTACTAAATGAGTTACTCCACTATAAAAGTAACTAGTTCCCAGTAAAAGTAACTATTGCCTTACTTTTTTGTTTGTCGTGGTACCGAGCTTTAGCTAGTTGTAATTTAGGATAACTTCTTAGTAGATACTTTATTGATCCCCGTAGGAGAAATTCAGGTGTCCAGTAACAGCAGAAACACATGCATCCACACAAGCAAACCAAAAAATGGATAATTCTGACTAACAATAGCGCTAACTGCTAACAATAGTATTAAAATGCAACAGCACTTTCATTCACAGCAGCAAAGATGGAGTAGTAACCAGTGCAAAACCATGAACACTGTACTGCAACATCTCAAGTATAAAAAGTTACATAAAATAACAATTATAAAGCACAAAACAACAACTGTTTCAAAGCTTCTTAGGACTTGCTGCCTTTTCCAGCGCATTCAAAAGTAAAATGTACTCAATGTGACTCGAAATCTCCATAAGTGGCTCAAAACAGTAGAAATTCAGAGTCTGTATCTCTCTCCGTCTCTTTGCGTCTGTTTGGAGGCGACAGGCGTTTAATAACTGCTTACAGGACCTGATGCTTTCTTCTGTCCCGCTGCACTCTGAAGACAGCGCTCCTCCTTTGCTGTCGCTTGTTGCTGTTTGGATTCGGAGCCAGAACAAAAACTATAGTCACAATCTCTCTTTTATTGTTACTCTACATTGTGGAGAATGAGTGTTTCTTCAGCGTACGGTTGCCATGACAATTCTATGGGAAATAAACGTTGAAAAATCTTTATTTGAAAGCGAGTAGATTCATGAACCTTCCGTATTCTTCTTATCTCTGATTTAAAGTCCTTTCTTCTGGACGTTATCATTGCATATGTTTTGGAATATTGTCACTACTTCTAGAAACATCTTTGAGAAAATAACGAGACCATAGTTGTCCTGACGAGAAGAACTTTGTGACTTTGTGTTTCATGTGAAGTAGCCCAGGAATTCAAGACAACAATTTGATCAAAACTAAAAGTAGAAAGTGACTTAGGACTGGTCCCCTGTCTCTCTCTCTTGCTGGTCTTTCTCTGATCTCTCTCTTTAGTCTCTATATATGTTTCCTCTCTGGTCTCTCTCTCTGGTCTCCCTCTGATCTCTCTCTGGTATGTCTCTGTTCTCTCCTCCTCTTTGATCTCATACTCTCTGGTCTCTCTTTCTCTGATCTCTCTCTCTTTCTCTGGTCTCACTCTGGTCTCTCTCTGGTCTCTCACTGATCACTCTCTTTTTCCTTCTCTTTTTCCCTCCCTCTGGTCTCTCTCTCTGGTCTCTCTCGCAGATCTCTCTCTTTTTCTCTCTCTCTGATCTCACTCTGGTCTCTCTCTGATCTCTCACTCTGGTCTCTCTCTGATCTCTCTTTCTGGTCTCTCTCTGATCTCTCTCTGATCTCTCTCTCTGGTCTCATTCTGGTCTCTCTCTCTGGTCTCTGTATATACAGTACATATTGTCATGACAGTTCTTGACACCACTATCACACATCACACTGTTCTCCACTACCATAGCTCCACCATGAACCTTCTGCAGCTGCCCTCCATCCCATCATTGAACCTGTGGCTGGTGGGCGGATCACAGCCTCTTCATCAAGGTGTTTTTCCATCTCCTCCGCATCTATGTGGGTCAGAGATGTGCCAATGTGTGAAGACTTTAGCCCAAAGGCAGAAAAACAAGCGCTAATAAGCTGACTTTACCCTGGGATGTGGCGCTCCCGTTGTTTCCGTGTGCGCCGCCTCTCGGGGACTCGGAGCGGTAATTGTGTGCCAGACTGAAATGAGTTCTGATCCGATGGGTTTAATTAAATCACAGGCTGAAGATACGGCGACTCTGCACACATTATCTTTAAGACGAAAGCGGCTTACAAGGGCCGGGCAGGATTAGCCAATAGAGAAGCACGTATAGTATAGAGGCTGTAGTGTCTGCTCTGTGGGGCTCGTTCATTGATTCATAATACTTCCCCTCCACAACGTTAGAATTCAATTTCATTTATCTGTGTATAGCCCTAAATCTCAACAGCAATTGTCTCAGAGAATTGGACAAAGTTGGCAATTCCTTCATAACAGATCAGAGAACAGTTTGAAATGCAATCATAGCAAACACATAGGAGCCATTGGTCCATGGGGGCGGGATCTCTGTCCATAAATGTTAATAAATGTCCATGTCCCAGATAATCACCGTCCTTAGACCCGTCCTTGAGAGAGGAATTTGCTCTAATGAACGGACAGGCTGTAGATCCAAGACTTAGACATAAAGCTTTTCTGTCGGCTATTTAGTGATAATCTAAAGGCTCAGCCATTTTGATCAATAGTTGCCTCTTCTTCCAACCAAAAAGAGCGGTAACTGTTTTCTATCGCGCTGCTCACATGTGGATCAGGGGAAGGAGGTTATCAAATTAGTAGTAGTAGAAGTAAGTTTGTTAATTCGCATTTTTTTGACATTAAAAAGGCATTAAAAAAAAGGATACGGTGACAAAAACAATTTAGCGTATGTCAGTTAATGTACATACTCTGACATAAATATACAAACGTATTTGTGACCGAAGGGATTAGGCTGAAGTATAACGTATTTTTGCCAATTCATAAAGAAAAGTCTCCAAAGTTTCGGGCAAAACCCTTTCAAAAAACTACCCAAACTACATTTCAAGATCAGGAGAAAAGTTGTAAATGTGTTTGAGACAGTGAGTGACCCGTGAAAACAACTAAAACATGGCCCAACGCTGTGACAAGTCCATTTTGATTTGCGTTCCCTTAAAGCACCCACACACATTTCAGAACACACCTGCGCTGCACCGACCAAACAAAACCAAAAGATTAAACTCTAAGCTCCAGGTGCTGTACAGATGTGACCGACACACACTACCAACACATTAGTTTTCCAACCCAAGAGTTTGGAGTGAAAGAAATGTATAAGAATTAGCACACAGAGGATCAGAATATCAAACCAATCGATTATTCAACTTTTATTGGTTGTGTGCCTTTCCTACACAAGGCTACACAAAGCGCCTCACAACCCACATCATATCAAGCCAATCATAAACATTAGAATATACATTATGTAACCGTAGGAGGGTAAGTGATGTTCGGCTAAAACATCACAAAAGAAAGATAGAGCATTGATAAAAGAGGCATAATTTCATTTCAACATATTTATTTTAGCAGTTCTTTTCTTTGCTGACAGGAGAACGAATAAAACACGTTTCATTTCACATTTCCATTATAAAAAGGGTAGACAAGGCAGCCGCGCTCCAACACGCTCGGACCCCGCTTTCCCCAGCTACATCCAGGCTACCGAACCGGGGCAATGACGCTCGGTGAGTGTCACACCACTGACAATATTTAAATAAACAAACGCTTTAGAACTTTCATAAAGACATTATCATTTCCGCACGATATTTACCTAGGAGCTCAAGAATGACGAGGCAACAACACCGGCAGGACCAGGAAGTAAGGCAAGCGGCAGACGTACAGGGC